GGCACAACAGCATCTTCAAATGTTCCTTTCTTAGCCCCGATTGCTTAATAAAACTTTTTGAGATAATTATTAGCATCAATTTGATGCTAACAACGACTCTTACCCAGGTAAGCGTTTACTCTGTAAATTGTTGCATTCGGTACATTTTAATGTACTAAAATCTTACACATCAAAATAAATTATAGTGTTGACTCATATCGGTAAACACTTACCGGATAAGCATTTAGGTAAACAGCCCCTTATTACTACATGCCAAGATTTGAACATGCTTACATAAATCATCACTGACACTAACTTCCGCTAAAATTTTGTATCAAATGCCCTCACGTGCTAGTCACATAAAGGTTAGTTTGGCCATTTGATTCACTTCTTTTATAATACCTTATTTGTACAAGTTAACATGCTATTAGTACAAGTGTGTAAAACATACCCTATTAAATCTGACAGCCCCTCCTCGTTCTCTGACAGCCCATCCCTTTTCTCCGGCAATGACCCAACTCAACCACCCTCGTCATCAATGTTAGTGTATATGTCTAAAAGCCGATTATTGGATGATTCTACTTGAAAATTATGCCATGATATTACTTAATGAAAGGCATTGCACAATTATCATGCTTATGTATTATTATGTATTATATCTAAACGTAATAATAACCTTAAAATAGTGTATTCTAAAAGGTCCATAGTCAAGTATTAAATTAGGTTTAAGTTGAATTGATATGGTACGACTAGTATATGTAGGGATTTATATGGAGATATAAAATCCACATATGGGTACTAGATGGGATCTTGAGTACTAGACGTGACTCGTTATGAGAACGTTTCATTGAATGTCATATGAGTGTCGTAGACGTTTTCTCATGTGGTTGTTGTACATATAATCCTTTGACTTGAGATCATGCAGCTTACTTTGTGTGAGTAGTGTACTTTGATAAATAATTCTAATCATACTGTAACTAGGTGATATAATGGTTGTTGGGTATATCATATATCACTTAGTAGTACTAGCATGGATCAAGATATGATTTGTTCCTCTTGTATGACAAGAGTGATATCCCTTGACCCCTTGATATATGTCTTGTCAGTATATTCTAGAATCAAGAAACTAAAGATCGTACATAACGAGAATGACACATCCATGCCTCGTGTTTAATTTGGATGTTGAGAACAAAGGGACATAAATGTGTACATTGATAATGATCACACAGTTTGTTGATTCTTGATTAGTTGAATCACCAAACTTTATCATTTGGATAGCGATGATGTACTGTTCGATGCCGCTCTTCATTTATAACTATAAATAGAATTTATAATTATTGCCAACATGGTAAAGTCTCAATGGGTCATACAAATAAAATGCGTATTTGAATAAAGAGAATAAATAATTAAAGTTTTTAATTATTATATATGATTTCTGATATTTAATCTGATTAAATATAATCATATTATAGCTAGCTTGTTTGACAAGCGCGGAGTATGAATGACTTGTAATGACTTGTCATATATTATATATGTGTAAAAGGACAAACATGCCTTTAGAAGATATGAGATCTTGAAAAATAATGTATCATTCTTTCAATAATTGTACTTATAATACTTGTTTATTATAAAGGACCATCATTATACTTTTATATCGCGCAATGCAGCAAGTACATCTCGATTTTAATGTTTTGTATTGTTATTTGTTTCCGTCAATGTTATAAGATGATTTTATGTGGTTTTGAAAAAAACGATAAAGTTTTTATTTTTGAATAAAATATAAACTTGAAGATATCTTAAAATTTTGAAAAAAAAATAATATACATATATTGATATCAAATTAAATATTTAAAAGTTATCGTTTTTTATAATTTCTTTAATTCATTTTTTATTATAATTTAATTTAGACTTAATAACGAAGTAATTTATTTTTGGTTTAAGAATACAAGTTTTTATAAAAAAAACAATAATTAAGTATTTTATTATAACTTAATGATTATTTTAATTATATTTTAGTTTTTTATATTTAAAATGAGATGTTTATCTTTATTTGATTATCTTTATCTGTTGTTAGTTACACAAATTCAAACATGAAGCTTTAATAAGTTGTACTTACGCACAATTTAATTGTAATCTTGAAGTTTAAGTAATATGCATCAATAAACAATACTTTATGTAATAGAAATAGTTTTTAAGAGTTTTTGTCAAATGTTTTATAATATAGTATAGATAGAGACCATTGTGAGACAATAGTAGAAGTGCTTGTTGCAAGAATTGTTCATTCGATCAATTATTTCTCTCTATATTCTATAAGTTGTTCTTTTTTTCCTCGAAAGAGTTGGAGATTGTATGTAACATTCGGTAAGAAAGAGGATCTCCTCTCTTGTTGTTGGACGTCATCTGGATTCAAAGCATTTACATGGATACCATAAAGTAATGAGCTTAGTTCGTTGGCTTAGATTCATACTTGACATCAAAAGGTTGCTACTCATACGAAGATATAAAGCTTAACCGATACAAAAGATCGAAACTGAACTCGAAGCCAAAACAGAACACTTGAATCTGAATAAGGTGAACACTTGAATCTGAATAAGGTGAACACAATTACGATCTAATTGATTAAATCTATTTCATTAGTCCTAACGATACCTAAGGACCTTAAATGTTACCCTGAAAGATCCCAAAACAATACAAAGGAAAAACGAAAAATCACAAAACAATGATGAATGCGACCAAAGTCGTATCAAACTCGCGTTGGTCACTAGATTCAATTTCCAAACCTTATAATTACTTGTAAAATTACCAAAGGACCATTGATAACCAAATTTTGATCTCAAATTGGTCACGAAGGAGAGATGGAAAAATGCATATTAACACGACTTGTCACGCGACTTTGGTTGCGCTAGTTTCGGTGTTTGCCTTCTCCCCTGTATCGAGCAAGGATCAACATTTTAGAGGAGCCCATGGCTAATTCTTGTTGATGTTCCTTTAATTAATGGAGCAGATTGGGGTGCTTTTTATACTTATCTTCTTTGTAAATCCTCTATTAGACATCGATTCACCACAATTCTCTTCCTTGTAGAGGAAGGCTAACTGTAACTGTTGATGTGACCCAATCAAACACTTAACGTCTCGAATTATTATACTACACTCTTATGTTCTAATGATGCCAGAAGCATAAACACTTGGATCGATGAGGCCTCCATCATTTTTCTCCCAAGCATATTATTAACAGGAGCCCAAGATGATCAAACTGTGAAGGTAGATTTTTAATTAACAAAATATTGGTTTCTTCGATGTAACATGTCACCTTTGAACCGAGTAACTTGAGGTGCTGGAAAGGCATAAATAACAAGTTCAACAACCTGAAAGAAACTAACGCCATTTGTTGTTTTGTGTGAAGTCTACATATGCCTAGAATTGCATAAAAAATGGTAAAATGAAATCATTTTAGGCATCAAGTAACGATATTCAAAAGTGAACTCACCTCACTGGAATGCAGAGTGCTTATTTTTAGCATAAATTTTTTTCACTTGAGCAAATAGAGATGAAGAAAGTACCATGTCGATTTTCAATCAGTGTGTAAAGAATGGCATATGCCTCCTCGATCTCTCAAACTAAAACAGAAAAACCCTAAAAGGTCATAAATCATTTCTATCTAAGAGAAAAAGCAGGATTTTCAGTACTGGAGAAAGAGAAGCACTCTCGATTTCTTGTTTTGGGGGAAGGGGAAGGTGGAGGTTTGCGATTTTGGAGGAGCGTGGACAAACGGGGTGGGAGTAAGCAAAGACATTTCAGGGGTGTAACTTCCTATATGCTTTAAATAGTTGTAACTTATGTATATTGATTTGTACCTCTTAAAAGTTTCTAGATAGCAATAACTCATCTCTATCTTATAAAGGAGCATAGATATAACAAGGCCTTCTACAATATAGTATAGATTCATACATATTCATGATATAATTAAATTAAAAAAAAATCGATAATGAACTTATTTTAAAAGTATCGACGGAATGTTTATAATGATATAATTTGTAACAAAAAAATGCATTTTTAATGTATTTTGGTTAATTTATGATTATGTATTTTTAATTTGATTTTACTTATCTGTCAGTTAGTTATACAAATTCAAAGTGAAGCTTTAATAAGTTGTACACATCTATAATTTATTTGCACTATTGAATTTTAAATTATATGCATAAATAAACAGTACTTAATGCATAAAATATAGTTTTTACGAATTTTTGTCAAATACTTCATAATATGACTAGAAGAGTACTCGCGCAATGCAACAAAATAGACGATTTTATGTGGTTTTGAGAAAACAATAATGTTTTTATTTTTGAATTAAATATAAATTTGAAGATAACATAAAAATTTGAAAAAAATAAATCGATATATTAGTATCAAATTAACTATTTAGTAGTTCTCGTTTTTTTGGTGTAACTTATTTAATTTTAATTTTTTATTATAATTTAATTCAGTTTTAATAACAAGATAAATTATTTTTGGTTTAATAATATATTTTTTATAAATATGATAATTAAACATTCTGTTAAAAATTAATGATTATCTTAATTATATTTTAGATTTTCTATATTTAAAATAGATGTTTATCGTGTATTTGATTATATATATTTGCAGTTAGTTACACAAATTTAAAAATGAAGCTTTAATAAGTTGTACTTATGCAAAACTACTTGTAATCTTGATTTTTAAGTAACATATATTAATAAACTGTACTTTATATATAAAAAATGGTTTTTAAGATTTTTTGTCAAAAACTTTATAATATAGTATAGATATAGATAGAATAGATATAGATAATTAGTTAAAAATAGAGACATGGGGACCAAAAGTGTAATTTTGTCGAATATTTATTTCGAGAAAGATGAATTATATTTAAAAATATGGGTTGTGGGGGCCCAAAAAGTGAAAAATGAAAAGTTGGTTAAAAAGGACGTGTTGAGTGTTGTTGATGGTTTGGAAACTAACGTACTTTTATCGTTCTCCCGGATCGCTTGATCATCGTATCTCTGCGGTGGCGTCACCGGTGGCTGCCGGACGGTGATCTTCCCTCTAAATCTCCTTTAATCTATTGCAAATTAAGATGGCGTACCGTAGAAGGCAGGGAATTTCTAGGGCTTCGACCTTCAAGGAAGATACGATTCACCGTTCTCCCAACGACGACGACACGACCACCTCCTCCTCCGCTGCTCCGTCCTCATCACTTGCTGCTCAGGCGATCAGAGCATCCGCCGCTCATCGGGACTCTTCTATCTCCTCCGCTTACCCCAACTCTGCTTTCCACTCCTCTTTTAAAGACGGATCCAAGGTTTTTTGATTTTGATCTTTTTAATTACTCTACAGTTAAATCATGCATAGACTAATACACCTGATCAGAATCTTGAATTTCATTTGTTACCTACAAATTTGTGTTCGTTCAAGTCATACACGTTGTTTTTTCTTTATTTTGCTCTTTGTTTAGCAATGTTCGATTATGGATCTGTATACATGCCTGATACCTTTCTTGGATTTAACAAACATGTAATCATTGATGATTGGGAGCCAGAATTATTAGTGTTAGACACATTTCTAGCTTCGAAGTTCTATTGATTTGATGTATGCCTAATTGTTAATAATCTGAAAGGGATCCATATCTGATATTCCCTTGTCCCCTCTCCGGCCTTCAGTAAATTCATTTGAGAGTAGTTATTATAAGGCTATGAGGCTTATAGCTATCTAATACCTGTGGTTTTAAGAGCTCAATGATTTCATATATGAGGCTTCTTTTACTATTAGGTTGTTATCTGATTTAGAAGATCTCTTTGGTAATCATTTTTATAGATTATAGTCAGTAATTACGTGAGGAAGAACAACTGAATGCCAAACTTAGACACAGACCTTATCAGATTAGAGAGATACAAAGTAGCATTCTTGTTTTTGCTGATAAGATGGAATACATGGTAATGCAGGGTTCTGCTACCTATGATTATACATCTATGGGAAGTACAAATGAACCAGGAGGCTTTTGGGGTGTTTTAGCAAGGAAGGCTAAAGCGATTCTTGATGATGATGATGATGTTCCTCGACATTTTGATAGTCCTAGCAGTGTGAAGCCAGAAGCAGTCTCAACAAGCAACCAGGTAAATATTTACTTTTGCAATGCAAATAACAGTCAGAAATCTTATAAAGTGAAAGACTTCTGGTATCTTCTGTTTGTTGATTGACATTACTATTTTGATTTTTTTTATATGATAGTAAGATACAATATGCTCTTGGCTAACCTCAGTGTTTGGTCCATTTTGACATTCACTTCATGTTTACCAACATTCAGGTTCAGCATCAATATGAATCTTTCGAGAACTCCAGAAAAATGGATAATCCAACATTAAGGAAGGGTTTGGATAGATTCACGTCTTCACTTAATCAAATTGGTGACACGATTGGAAATGCCTTGGAGGTAAATGTTGTTGATTGACATTAGTGGTTTGTATCTTTGCTGAATAATCATTAGAAATTGAAAAGATTTTGAATTATTGTTTTCACCTTCTCCTTTTTCTTTGCACACTGATCTTGGAGGTTGGTTGGATTGTACTGAGGTGCCTGTTACATTGAAACTAGAGATATTGGAAGTTGAATACTTTAAGTAATAAATATTTAACTATTAACTACCCGTAAACTCTGCATATAGTTCATGTTTGCTGAAATACATGTACCGTCTTCTAATAGTCCTTTCATATATTTGAAAGTTGAATACTTTAAGTAATAAATATTAACTATTAACTACCCATAAACACTGCATATAGTTCATGTTTCTGAAATACATGTACCGTCTTCTAATAGTCCTTTCATATGTCATGTGATGACCTTGTTTCCAATTTATTTATTTATGAAATCTTTAAATCGAATGTTTACTGTGAGGCCACAACCTAGGAGTATGAGGTGGCGGTCTATGTTGGTTGTAATCATGTAATGAAATGAGCGACAGTTGTTTGTGTAAATGTAATGCTGCTCACAGGTTTAAGTGCTAATTGTCTGTTGATTACTGTTAATGTGGAAAGAGGATTCGGTTGCAAATATACAAGCTGGAATGAGCATTCTCATATATATATATATTGCTTTAACTTTATGTTTCTTTTTCTTGTTTGTCTTTTAAGAAAGATACTTGTATTGGTAGCATCTCATTCGGTCAAAAGATGTATTTTAAAGAACTGCTTATCATTGGTAAATGTGATTCTGTCAATATAAAGAAGGGTGATTCATGAAACAGAAATGAGATATTCTTACCTTTATTATCAGGAAGGGCGTACCATTGTGGACAAGAAAACTCATGATATCATCCAGGAAACTCGCAAACTGCAGAACAGGAGAAGAGGAACGAATGATGAACATAATCAGGTCTCTGGCATCCAGAGTCAATCTCAGGAACCTAGAATGCAATCTACACAACAACAGACCAACCAAGAAAATCAAATCAAGGCATCTCGCGACGTAAGGTGGCAAATGTGTAATTGCATATTTGTGGTTGAGGCAACACAAGTTTATGGAAATTTCTGTTTATGATTTACGCTTGATCTAACCTGCATCATCATCCCAAATTCATAGTGCATACTTGGGGAATGTGCAAGTTACTTACTGAAAATGCATCATACCATGCACAATACTTTTTAGCAAGGGAAGAAAGGGGAAGCATTTGTATTTCTGGGCAATGTCAATATGGAGTTCGTTTGCATAAAACAACATAATTGAGGCCGTCATTTTGGTACTTTCATTGATTAATACATTACACAAAAAAGCTACTACATTATCTATTCTCACCTGTATAAGGAGTGAAGTTAGAATTTAGAATGTTGTGAACCAGAACTTGGTAACTTTCTCGTATGGTTTTACCACTTATCTTGGCTCTTAATATTGAACTCGTTTTAATTGTAAACATACCAATTTTTTGTGGTAACTAATTGTTTTTTAGTATGTATCTTTTCCCATGAAATGCATTGTTGCCTTTTGTTTTGGGTTACAGGTGGCAATTGCAACAGCTGCCAAGGCCAAACTACTCCTTCGGGAGCTGAAAACGCTCAAAGCAGATTTGGCTTTTGCAAAACAACGAAGTTCTCAGCTAGAAGAAGAAAATAAAATGCTCCGAGAGGCTCTTGAGAAGGGAGATAATCCTGCAGACGATGACATGGTATTCACTTGTATCCCTCTGCACAAATTGTTTCTTCCTTCAGTATCATCTTTCATATTCACTATCCAATGTCTAGATCTGATCTTATTGTGTCAATCTTTCAAAGTAATTTACATATGTCCTCTACTAGTATTATGCATAAACAGCTGCAAAAAAGATGCAGTCAGCTGAAAACTATTCCCATGTTTTCAACGATGAACTTATGCATAAGATCTGCTGTGGGAGTCCTTTTTGCAACCCTCTTATCTGTCAAAGAAAAAAGACCTGAAATATACACTTTTTATTTTATTTTTTTATGATTCAAGAGAACATCATATCCACTCTCATCATTGTAGTCATTGGTCCTTGATTCAGTGTAGTTGCAAATTCATTTTAGAGCACCGCATTGTTTTGTTGGGTGCCATCATATAGTTTTTGGAACTGAAGCTTTGACACAAGTCTTTAATGGTGGAATTGGTAAATGTTGCTCACTTTGTACGAAAACCCCGGGTTCAAGTCCCAACTTTGTCAAAATTTTTAGTTTTCAGCTTAAATTTTGGTGTTTTTTATATGTTTTAGAAAAAATTTATAGTCTGGACTCGAACATGGGTCCTTTTTGTGCAAGGACAAGGAACTAACCAACCAATCTATTCTAATCTATACTATATTATAAAACATTTGACCAAATCTCTCAAAAACCATTTTTTATGCATGAAGTATTGTTTATTGATGCATATTACTTAAAATTCAAGATTACAAGCAAACTCTGCGTAAATACAACTTATTAAAGCTTCATGTTTGAATTCGTGCAACTAACTGCAGATAAACATAACAAATAGAGTATTAACATCTCATTTTAAATATAAAAGATCTAAAACATAATTAGGATAATCATTTACTTCTAACAAAATACTTAATTATTATCTTTATAAAAATTATATTATTAAACCAAACATAAAAAAATGAATTAAAGAAATACACAAAAAAAGGAGAATTTTTAAATAGTTAGTTTGGTACTAATATCAATATTTTTTTTCACTTTTTTATGATATATTTTCATATTTATATTTTATTCAAAAATAAAAACATTATCGTTTTCTCAAAACCACATAAAACCATATTATAAAATCGACTGAGACAAAAAGAATAAAACGAAACATTAAAATCGAGATGTATCTCGCTGCATACCCTTCTAGTATTGTAAAATATTTCAGCACGTTTATTTTTATAGTCAACCACCACCCAGAAAAATTTCTGGGTCCGCCTCTGGATATACAAAGCTTGTTTAGTTTGATTTTATGCAATGAACATGTACAACCCAAAACCCTAGCTTCGCGTTAGATATACTGTATGTTTGATTTGGTTTTCTTTCTGTTATGGACATGCACAACCCCCATGACCGTACTTCGTGTGGATATACCGAGTCTTGTTGCTTTAGTTTCCTTTCTACAATGGACATGCACAACACCCCCACCCCGCCGGGACCCTACCTTACTGTTGGATATACTGAGTTTGTTTGATTTGGTTTCCACTCTGCTATGGACTTGCACAAAGTAGGAGATCTTATATACCCTTTTAACTAATCCGTCTAGTTTACATTTCCATGATCAGATACGTCTTCAACTCGAGTCACTTTTGGCAGAGAAGGCTCGTTTGGCTAACGAGAATTCCGTATATGCACGTGAAAACCGGTTCTTGAGGGAAATCGTTGAATACCACCAACTAACAATGCAGGATGTGGTGTATTTGGATGATGGCATTGAAGAGGTTACAGAAGTGCATCGGGGAGTCTCTAGGATGCTATCAATGTCACCACCGTTACCTTCATCCCCACGTGCTCCTCTGAAGAGAACGATCTCTGAACCCCCGTGATTCGTAATATGTCCGTATGGTTAGTTAGTTGTGGGCGATTGTTTTGTTATGTTCTGTTCTATTTGTGATCTATTCTTGTTTGTTTGGATGGAAGGCGATTGTTTATTCTTGTGTCGTTCGTTCTGTAAGTAGGGTCTGATCTGATTGGTGAGATGTATTAGTGAATAACAGAAAGTTTGTTATGGACCATATCCCATGATTCTTGTCTAAATAATTTGGTATGCAAATGAACAATTAATTCGTTTAATGTTGTATAAGCAACCTACTATTATATATACCAACTCTCTCATGATCCTCCATGTATTTGCAAGTCCTTAGGTATGGTAACGGGGCGGGTTTTGTAATCCCCGGTCAAACCCCATGAAGAATACTATTAGTTTGATTCTACCGGGGATCCCCGGCCCCGGTTTGAGTAACATCCCCCGGTCCCGACCCCGATCCTGTTTGAGTCTACCGGGATCCCGGCCCCGGCACTGGGATCCATTTTAGCGGGAAATCTTTGTCTTCGTTCGGGTCGGGCGAACCGAGTTCCCCACCAGATTGGAGCAAATCACCATGCCTACAGTTCCTTAAAAGGTTGTTTTGAGTAGTTTTGTCAATCAAACTAGTCTTGACACCCACTAATATCCTAAAAATTGCTTGCTATTTTGATTTGATGTGATCACACATTTTCAATATTATTAGCGTTCATAGAATAAATCGAGGAATATGTAACTTAACCTGATTATCCCAAAACTTGCTATTTGATTTGATGTGATCACATGATTTCAATATTATGAGCATACTATAAGGGGTTTAACTAGCAAGGACCCGAACCCGCTCCAAAAATGGAGTGTTTGTTACAGAGTCAGGTAAAATGCGTCAAAATATAACAAGTTCATATTAGTTCCTGTTTAGTATAATAAAGAATTTTTTCTCCCATCAATGTAACAAATATTTAATTTTTATATTTTGTACCTTTTGGATCCGTAATATGTTGATTTTGTAACATTTGATAAAGTAAACACTCTTATTATTAAATGATTACGATGAAAAATGTGATAAACTTGACATGTACATCATTGGATGTCCCAAAATGAATAGAATTAAAAAAAAAAACCAAATTTCATTATATTTTATTTTGGAGTAAACTATGATTTTCGTCCCTGTGATTTGTAAAAGATTATGATTTTCATTCATGTGGTTTTCAAAATGCGATTTTCATCCTTATTGTTTATAATTTATTGTCATCTTTGTTCTCATGATTTATAATTTTTGTTGTTTTCGACTAAATCTATTAAAAATCCTCCTTTTAACCTAGGGGTATCTTAGGTGGCGTTTGTTTTTTAAGAGGTGCTGAAGTCTGAAGTCTGAA